TGATCCTGGAGTCCCGGGATCGAGTCCCGCATCGGGCTCCCTGCTCAGCGGGAAGCCTGCTTCTCCCTGTCCCACTCCTCCTGCTTGAGTTCCTTGTCTTGCTTTGTCTCTCTCTGTCAAATAAATATAAAAAATCTTAAAAAAAAAATAAACCAATCGTTTAAAAAAAAAAAAAGGAAATTTAATAATCGCCTAAGTACTTTGGGGAAGTCTCCCTAAATCTTAAAAGAATTGAAATTAGCATATTAATCTAAGGCAAGGGTCCTTAGAATAAAAGGGGATTATGAATTTGGATAGAAAAAAATTACATTATTTTTACTAACCTCAGACTGAAATTTAACATTTCCTTCAGTGTTGAATGTAGGTCCCAGTGGTAGTATTAGCAGTACCTGTAATGTTTTTTGCTACTAAAAGCCATAGATATTTTCAATTTCAGTTGTTGCAGGTACCTCACAATATTGTTTATGCTCATTATTTTCATATTGTATTGTTAGACCTGCCACTTGATCTTGTTATTTAAACCATTAATAAAGAAGCACATGTATTACCTATCATAACTTTGTAAGAATTGTATTTTTAAATTTTATTTTAAAACATTCTGAAATTCTAGAGTAAGCAAAAACAGTGTTATAATGATAGAAATCAGATGAGTGGTTGCTTCTTATAGAGAAGGTTGATTGGGAAAGGGATACAAAAGAACTTTCTAGGGTGATGGAAGTGTCCTATGCATGGTATGCATGTATCACAGGTGACTGAGTGTTAAACTTGAGATCTGCATTTCTCTGTATGTAAATTATACCTCAATTAAAAAACGAATACATTTAAAACTATTCTTAGAAGGTGTCTGTAGGCTTCATCAAATTGCCAAAGAAGTCTCTGGTAGGAAAGATGGTTAAGAGGCCTTTTTCTGAGGCCATCCTGTTGCCTTTGCCTTTCTCTTTCTTTGAGTACCCTGTTTCTCCCAGTTACTTTTGCTATTCATTTCCCCTTTTTTCTAAATGTGGTCTCGCTTTTTTGACCTAAGGAAAGTCAGAAAAGAAAAATAGCAGCTATGAAAGAAATTTTTTGCTTGGTTGTTTGCCCCTTTCTTGAAGCCAGTAAGGCTGTAGCTCTCCTAACAGGGTTATGTATTTGCTTAGACTTGACGTAATTTCTAGTGACAACTACTCTTCTAAAAACTAGCTTGTAGATGATTTCAAAATGGAATGATTTTTCTTATCCAGTTTTGCTTGGAGTTTTAGTAGGATTTTTATCCCTTTGTATCATTTAATATGCAGTTCTGTTGTAAAGTAGCCGTGAACATTTATAACAAAGATTGGAGGAAATAAAATGTATTAGGAATCAGAAAAGCATCAAAGAAGGAAGGAAAGAAGAATTAATGTTACAGTCTAATCCAGATTTTTCCCCCCAGAAATCCCATCTAGGTATCCTCAATGCAGTGTGATATTATATATTCCAAATTCAAATATGTTTTACTTATATAAAACTCAAAGTAATACACATATCAAATATTAGCCTTTATCTATTTTAAAATGTGGTGACAGGGCTTGAAGATTTAAAAAAAATTTTTTTTTTAAGATTTTATTTATTTATTTGAGAGAGGTCGGGGGGAAAGCACAGAAGGAGAAGTGGACTCCCTGCTGAGCGGAGAGCCCCATGTGGGGCTCGATCCCAGGACCCTGGAATCATGAGCTTAACCGACTGAGCCACCCAGATTTTCCTTTTTTTTTTTTTTTAAGATTATTTATTTCTTTATTTGAAAGAGAGAGAGAGAGACAGCGAAAGCAGGGGGAGTGGGAGAGGGAGAAGCAGGCTTCCCACGGAGCAGGGAGCCCGATGCGGGGCTTGATCCCAGGACCCTGGGATCGTGACCCGAGCCAAAGGCAGACGCTTAACGACTGAGCGACCCATGCGCCCCAGGCATGAAGATGTTAAACACAGTGTAGATATGTATAGAACAAACATTGGACTCTTAGTGGCACCCAGTGCTAAGACTACTCCTAATATAACTCTTGTTGCCTATCATCTTATAACTGTTAGTTTTTCTCTACTGTTCTAACATTTCCACGGTCTTTTTATTTATCTAAATAAATTTAATAGGACACTTATTTTAATAGATTACAAAGTATTCTAAGAAAGATTGAGCTAAGGTGGATAGTACTAACAGATTTTTGTCCAAATAGTATCTGTGTCTTTTATGACTTGGTATTAGATAAAAAACCTAAAATACTATTTGGCGGTTTCTTTGCAGCCTCTCGTGTGGAAAATTTGAAATGCAGAGGAGAAACAATAGCTAAGGAGATCAGTGAAGCCATGAAGGTAAAAGCTACATGCTAAAAAGTTATAAAATGAACAATATGTAGCTAGGTATTTGCTTTCAACATCCATATGTATTTTAGTCTATTGTAACAGGAATTCTCAGTATCTTTTAAGTAGATCTTTAATGAATTTATTAAAGTGACAGTAACATTGAGAATAACTAACATTTAGTAGGCACCAGTATGTGCCAGTATTATATCTGGCTTCTTTGAAGATTGATTATATTTTTGAATTCTGAGAGTTAGCAGTCTATCAAACAATTTTGGATAATAATACCACTTAACATTTAGTGAGCATTTATGGGTCAGGCACCATCTAACTGCTTTACATATATTATCTTATTTAATCCTTGCAATAATCTTATGAGGTAGATACTGCTAATTTCCCTATTTTATATTTGAGAAACTGAGGCACAGAGAGAGGCTATAGATTGCCCAAATAAACAAATGAGTCAGGACTTAAACCCTGGATATTTGGCTCTAGAGCCTATATATATTCTTTTTTTTTTTTT